TATATATATTTTTTTTTCTCTTTTCTTGTTTTATTCTTTTTATTGTTAATGTTTTTTATATGATTTATTTAATCAATATTCATATTAATCATTTAATCATTATAATATTTATTTTATGTGATTCAAATTTCATTATAATGATTAAAAAATGCATAAAAATCATAATTTATTAAATATATTTAAGTTAAAATTGTTAGTTGGAATATAAAGAATTTATCAAACCAAATTTACTGAAAACAGTTTGATGACACATTTTTAATATGGGTGTCTGAAAAAAGAAGGCTTCAATTCCCTCTAGAATATTTTCTTTTGGATGAAATTTCTAGACCTAATTATAGCCATAGAGGAAATTAGTCACCTGAAAAAGACATGGATATGCATGAGAATTTATCTCAAAAATAATTTCTTACACGTGCTAGCTAGCATATTCCTTAGAAACTCTCAAATCATTTTCAAAAACACTAAACTAGCTACCTGCACCTAATAAATTTAGGTATGCATAACAAGAAAACTTTGCTCTTTTCCAATTTCTTCTCCTTGCTTTGTTGGAAGGACCTTACATAGTTCAAAAATGTATGTTACCTACCGATCCATTGAGCTGGCTCCCTTTGTTCATATATGTCGGTTGTTATTTTCATAATCGATAATATATTCTCTCACACCCTACCGATATATATATGTAATTTCTTAATAGTAATATAGAGTTGTTGGAGTTGGTTAACCTAGCTAAGCAAGAAAACTCCAGGAACTGATTAGTATATTAAGATTTAAATAATTTTTTAGTCACGTTAAATAGAGTATTTTTTTGCTTTTTTTTCTTTTTTATTTTTATCTTTGTAAAAAAAATTATTTCTCAGTTTCATTCTTATTATCAGATTAGTCGTTAAATTTAACAAAAACAAAATTAAAGAGACCAAAATAAGAAAGTGAAAAAATTATAGAGACCAAAATAAAATAAAAAAAATCGAAAACAATTAAAATACGAGAAGATAAAAATGAAAATAACTAAAGAGATTTAAAACAAAAATAAAGAAAATTAAGAGAATTAAAATTAAAATAATCTTATTTTAAAGAGATTAAACTTTAAGGTAAGTTAAATTTTTAAAATTTAAATTTGAACTTGTACTTACACAGAATAACAATATAAATTTTTATTAACTATAAAAAAAACTTAAACCTTTAACATAAAACTTCAAGTCTAGTAAAATTATAATAATCATCCTCTAGTTGTAAAGAAAATATAACAAATGAAAGACAATAATGTAGTTCCTTCCTCTGCAATGCATGGTTTCAGCTTTATAAGTTGATTATTTGTCAAACCACAATTATTGAACTTTTTTACCTATTTGGCGTAAAAAAATTAAAATTCTCAAATTAAGATATTTTTTAAAAATTTCCGAATTAGAATACGTTGTGTTCGTGAAACACGACTTTTTGTATTAAAGTAAAACTTTCACAAATTAACACGACTTCTACTTGTTTTTTAAAAAAGTTAATAAAAGGAGGTCATATTTTAAATCACGACTTGATTTTTCAAAAAAACAAAATCATGTAAAAGATATTATTTTAACGTTAAAAAAAAAAAAAAAAGAGCAAGTCTGAGTTCCATTCACGACTTCCCATTTTAAAAAACTAATAAAAAAATGTGTGTTTAGTATTCATTGATCTTGATAATTAAGCACTCTTAGAATAAAATGTTAGTGGTTTGGTTACTCGTATAAAATATTTAGTTATCTTATCTGGCTTATTACTCTTTCACTCTTTATAGTTTTTACTTTTCATTACAAAAAAAAAAAAGGCAGAAATAATTACGAAAAATTAGTCAACGCAAATATCGACAGTCAAACTGTCTCTGGACTGTCCTAAGCATAATTTTTTTTAATAATTTTTTAAAAACAATTTTAATATTTCATTATATTAAAAACTAATTTTTAATCTTTAAAACCAACTACACAGACTATAATGGTGTCGATAACTAGTTATTAAAAGCCGACACTACTCATATTATGCTTTCCATTTCTTATGCTTAGTCGTGACAATGTTTATAGATATTTTTCTATTAGTCATTTTATGCTTTCCGTTTCTTATGTGTAGTCTTTGCGTCATTATGTTCCACACATATACACAAGTCCTATCCTAGAGTAAAAGTGGTAATGTACAGCCATGGCATCATTAATTGGAAACAAATAATTAAAAAGGACATGATATACACAAATTGCATGTGTTTCAATTGCAAGAAAGACTGAAATTTATAAATAATGATTGATTCATTATATACAACATGCTCTAGCTGTTTAGCATGATTATCTATGTGCGCTAATCAAGAGAGAAAAATGCATGAGTACTATTTTTTTTTTTCAGACCCAACAATACAAACACCCCATTGATACTTAATTATCATTTTTCTCTAACTCTTTTTTCTTCATGTCATTTTGTATCCTATTGTATATATCTATACTTATTTCTCTTTCTGGGGTTTGCTAGCATGGAATAATGTACATGGGGCATGGAACTAATCAACCTATAGATATTTCACTATCATCGACAAAGGAACTAAGCAAAGGCCTTTCTTCTTCAGTTCTGCGTGGTCATTATCCCTCCCATTAAAATACACTTCTTTCCTTTCATCTCTTTCTCCTGAGGTGTTTCCTTTTTCCTGCAAAATCAAAACAAAAAAGCAACTTGTTAATTGAAAAATGCTTAATTAAGTTGTTCATTAATTAATTTAGTTGCATAATCAACATACATGTATATGGATTGCGAGGCATCTGAAATAAATTAAGGAGTACAGTAGTACATCATTAATAAGGAAAAAGAAAGAATGAAAAAAATCTATTAAAAGGGAAATGGTCTTTGATTAATTAAGCACAAAAATCTCATGCATTTTCCTTTCCCTCCCAAATAGCTAAAAGGTAAAAGATAAAATAAAATTATATATTATCAATGTAAATTGAGTTGCTCAAATTAAGATGGTATAAGTCCTTTTTCTCTCTTACTTTTTATTTTTATATATTTTCAAGTGGTTTAATTTAAAACCAAGTTAACTTTATAAGACTAGTTTATAAAATTATAAGTCTTCCACACTTATATATATTATTATATATATACTCATTGGTTGATATGAAATTTTTAACATAAACCTAAAATATTAGGATAAATTATAGAATTAAAACTACTTAACATATATAACTTCAACTAATTGAAAGGAAATGCAATGTAGGAAGAATTATTAAGAAAAGAGGAAAAACAAGAACCTTGGGGCCTTTGATAGGAGAACTTGCAGTATCTTCCAAAGCATCATCAAAAGCTGTTTTGATCTTCTTTCTCTTCTTCAAACTAGATTCCTCAGCTTGTGTGCTATAAGTTAATTTTTTGGTAGCAGCCAAGGAAGCAGCATCAGAGGCAAAGGAGGTGGAGTCAATACCAGAGAAAGACATAGAACATTTCTGATCATCAACATTATGGTCGTTAAAGAAATCCTCAAAGTACTTAGTCCAACCACTCTCCTCTGAAGAGTCACACTCACTGGTGGAAGAAGGAGCTTTGATTTTGGTACTCATTGAAGCCACCTTAGTTTTGTATCTGAAATCCAACAAGAGAATAAGATGAACAAATAATGAAAATATATATTAGTGGGGTTCGGTGCAATAAGTTTTTAAGAAGCAAGTCTCCCACGGAAAGCATATATGAAGAGAATATTTAATATATGTAATTAACAATGAAGAAATATGCATAGATATGATTAAATGTGTGACGACTTTGGAATCATGGGGTGGGACATAGAATTCGAGAAGTTAAAATTAACTTAGTGTGTGTGTGTGTGTTTGACCTTTGTGGTATGTGCCAAGAGATTTGCAAAAATTTTCTTTATGGCGGACTTAACTTTCCACTATTGCTTTGAATTAGTCATTCAGTCACCCTAGCTAGCTAGAGAAGTTTGGAAATGTTCTTTCGGCTACCTCATTCCCTAATCCCAATGTCTCACGAGAAATTGCATCTAGTTCTAATAATTTATCACAATTAATTAATTTCTCCCGTGAACATACAAGAGGAAGAAATTTACTTATACTAGCTAGAAGTAGTTTCCTTTCATAACCTTTTTTTTTTTTTTTTTTTACAAAACAAATGTAATAAATTCAACCGTTGATTTACTCATTCTATTGTTATGCTATTCTTGGTATGATAATTAATTTGATAAAAATAAAATAAAATTTGTAATTGATTGATAGAGTAAAATTAAGTAAAAAGATAGAAGGAAGTTAATATTTTAAAATTGTATTTTATATAGTTAACTTTTTATGTAGAAATAAATAATATATACAAATATTATTTTACTTTTCTCTCTTTATTCACATTTGTTTATACAAATATTAACATAATACATCACCCACTTTAATTTACCATATTTAAATATGATAATTTTTACGCATATTATAATTCCTATTAGCATAATGTATTATCATTATGTCTAATGCTTTATCCATGAAAGAAAACTTTTCTCTTAATATAATACATTATCCATTATTATAATCATTATCTACGAAAGAAATATTACTTCTTAAACTTACAAGTGCATATAATACAAATGAAATAAAAATTATTTTTATCTTTCTTACTCATTTAGTGGTTTGTTTGTCAAATTTTAAATAAATTTAATAAAAACACATGTATTTTTTCCCCTCACTCTCTCTCTTTTTAGTATGTACTCATACAGATATTTAATTTCTTTCTGAAATAAATCATGATGACGTGTTAGTAGAATAATTTTAGTTATAGAATAAATACTTGAAAGTGAAATCAATGGATATAGTTCAACTCAAGCTTTCACATCCGATGACAATTATTAGTAAAGGCCAGCTTTCAAGTTGAACACTATTATAAAATACACACATATATATTGTGTGTTTGAAAATCTCGATTATCTGTATATTGTAATTCCCTCTAGTTTCCTATAATCCTGTCATATATCTTATCCTAGCTACAAAATAGGCATTCTGCCTATTATATTTAACAAAGGAAATCAATATGTATATTGTAATGGCATGATATATGCCCCTTTCGCTGACACAACTCGATAGCTCAGCTTAACTATCATTTACAATTTTCTAGCACTTCCCCAAATTAATTTTCTATTATGAGGATAAGAAAATTGCAATTTCAATATTTTAAACTTAAAATGAAGATATCAACATGTATTGATTCTAGTTAGAGTTACTTGGATATGATTTCTTAATTGTTATTTACTTACTTAAGTTTAATATAAAGGCAGTAGAAAAGAAGTTTGACATGGAAGAAACATACATTTGATGGAAATTAAGAGTTCCTTTTGCAGCAGAACATTCAAAATCTCACGAGAAGTCGAGAATTAAACGGAATACGAGTTAGCCTTTGCTTTTTTATCACTCACTTTGTGTGTTTAATAAAAGGGAAAGAAATAAAATTGAGAGAAATAAAAAGTGAATAAAAAAAAACAAAATAGAAATTAAATTATTTGATTGAAGAAAAATAAGTTATATATATATATATATATATATGTATATAAGAGGAGAAAATAAATAAGAGGATTATTCTTTTATTTTTTTTCAATCAAACAATTTCACTTGTTTTTATTTTCTAAATTTTATTTCATCCACTTTATTTCTTACCCATTTTTCTTTTAACTAATTAAATAACAAATTTAAGTTTCCTCCACTCATAATTTAAGAGTGCTCATCCGTTGAAAAAGATAAACAAGGCATCATCATTGGATGGAATGATGTATGGAGAGTTTAATTTTGTTGACTTAAACCATAAACAAACACATAAATAAAGAAGGAATCGTTTTGAAAAGAATAAAGATAGGTGATGACTTTGGTGTTTGTTGTTGGCCATTTGATTTAGGACTTTATCTGTATTTGCTGACGTTGCTTCATAATTGTTTTATCGTCTTGACCTCAAAACTACGTCAGCAAATATCTTTTTAACGAGGGTCCACCCATCTGTGAATGTTGGAGATTAGTTTTTATTTCTGATTAAGAGTTTAATAGCTACTCCCGTGCCCCACAAAAACCTACTTCAGAAGATCTAAATTAATTCTTCCATATAAACATCAATATGCTTCCATCTAATTTTTTTTAAACAATAAACATTGAGAATACCGGATTTTCTAAAGTTTTTTTTTAAAATAGATCTTACAAATTGAGAATAATATTTGACGAGATAATCAATATCCAATCTATCTTATTCTCTAAATAAATCATTGATATGAGTTAAACTTATGTAGCATTTTTTAAGTAAAGTTTTGGGTTTAGGTTTTTAAATGAAAAAATCATGATTATTGGGATAAAAATCCAGCCATCAAAGGCGACCCAACAAAAATTAGTCACGGATACAAATGAAAATAGAGTGAGTAATTTGTCACGAGTCTTCAACCAAGTCTGTTTATATATATATATATAT